GAATATGACTGAAAAATTTCATTTTTTCTGAAAAGGTGGTGTCTATTTACTTGTGACCATGCTGTGTACAATGACAGTGTTACCACTGCCCCACTTCTCTCCATATTTGCTAACCCCAACCCAACCTGGCTTGATGCAGATTTTGGAAAATAAGTTTACCCTGGAAGACAACATCAACTACCTGGCAGGATACTTATACACATAAAGGAAGAGAAACAAAAAGGGAAACATACATACCTATTTCAAAGATGGTGAGCAGACTGAAGTATGACAATAGGTGTTGAAATCCTGCAGCAGATGAAACAGCCAGATAGCAAAGAGAAGGAGCAACAAACATGTGAGGAGTTGTTCACATGCTCATGTGGAGAATCTCGTCGTGGGCCTGGTAAAGATGGGAAGCAAGAGAATGAGAAAGGTGATGAATCAAATGCACAGAAATGTGTAAAACCTTGAAAGCATCCACATCCAGAGACGAATATACCAACTGAAGGAGTTCACAAGTTTCTCCAGTGGGGTAAAAGGAGGGATGTCCTGGAAGAAGAGGGGTCCCAGGGTAGGAACAGATGATGTAGATGATGTTGTGGATCCAAAAAGGGAGAACTCCATAATAAACAACACTGAACTGTCCAAGTAGAACACAGTTAACCTCCCAAGCAACAGAAGTCCGAAGAAGGAAAGATCGGTCCAGGTAGAAAAGTATATAAATGCAATGGAAGTGGGTGCAAGAAACTTCAATAGTATAGACAACTGAACAACAACAAAAAGAAAGAAGAAATAAGACATGAGAGAAAGGCAGTACAAAGAGCAAGAAGCCAACAACTCAACTGAGGCACACGTGATAATGTACAAAACCACATTAAGGACCCAAGCAGGTATAGGAGTCTTGAAGGAGTGGAAGAGATTGGAGAGGACGACGAAAAAAAATACCCTGTGGTACTAGGAAAATGGAAATACAGTGGACAAACCCCACCAAATAACAAACAATGGCAGAGCTTGACAAACCAAAGGTAGAAAGAAAGGTGGAGCACAGTAGGAGGTCCAGAAGTAAAAGAGTGGTAGATGGATCAATAACAAAAGATCATCACCACCATCGTTGATAGACAAACAAAATGGAAAAATGATAGGAGTGTAACAAGGAGGTTACACAACAGGAAAATCTGGCTTGAAGGAAGATGGAATGGACGAACCCTACACTTGAAGATGGAAGAATAACATCTCTTGATGATTAGGGACATGTGAGGGTGAAGCACGAATGAAGAGACACTGGGTACATGAATGGGGAGCTAGATACCAAGTAAAGAAGTAGAGGAAGCCAAGGATGAAGTAGTCAAAGAGGCACTACAGTAGGAGTCAAGGACCTGACGGAAGAGTGGAAGAGGAGGATAGGCATATAGAAAAAGGTGAACCAGCCATGGTTGAGAGCTTCAACAGACACAGCTGAAGGATGAAGAACAAAGGACCAGAATAGAGGAATATTGGAGTCGAGAGGAATGACAAAGGCATTTAAGAGGGATGTTCCCCACCAAGAGCAAATCCAATGAATGACTTGGGGATAAAGAGACCACTCCATGGATTGAACTAGTTTGGATGAGAGAGGTAGTCTGTCAGAAAGTATATAGCTTTTGGAATATGACAGGCAACAAGATGAATGCGAGGGGGACGAGGCATTTAGGTGTGAGAAAGGATCTGTTAGAGAAAGAAAACAGCATAAACCCTAATAAAAATCAAGGAGGAAAACTGTAAACCCAAGAATTGTGTTCATAGAGTGAAAAACTAGAAATATTAAAGGGCAGATAAAGGAATGTAATTAAGAAGGAATTCCAGAAAAAAACTGTAAGGGGTAAGGTCATACCTCCAATGGTAAGGCACTATATAAAGCAAACAGGCTAAATTTGTAGTCCATTTCCGACCGAGGAGAAAGAATGTCAATTGAATGGATGAGAGTAAAAGGCCAGTAAACATGTGGTAATCCACAACACGTTGGTAGAGAAAGGAACACAACTAAGAAGGAAGTCCAGAAAGAAATTGGAAGGGTAAGGTCATACCTCGAATTGGAAGATACTACACAAAGCAAACAAGTTAAATTTGTAGTCCAATAGACCATTCCCAACTGAGAAGAAAGAACATCAGCTGACAGGACAGAAGTAGGAAGCCCAGTAAGCATGTGATAATCCAAAACATATTGAACAAAGGCTGGAATGTCCTCAACAGCTAATAAGCCTCCAGAAGCCATAGCAGAAATAAGGCCTGTGTGTGTGACACAGTGTAACTCACATAGGATTAAGTAGAAGTCACCGTCACTTAAGGATTCATAATAAAGTTAAAGCTTTTAAAACAAAAATCAAAGTTTCATTAACAAATGCAAGCCTCATCAAATTGAAGCCAGACGAAATTTAAATGTGTCTGTGACATACAAAGCCAAGGAAACGAATGACATTTTAATGAGTACAAGTGCACAGGGGAGTTACTGTGCATGGAGGTTGTTTTGCTTTCCTATTGGAAGAGGACTTTTTTTGCATGATGATATCATTATGCACCAGCATAGTTCATGTTAAACATATGAATTTAGGTGGAAGTTATCTCAAGGCTAGTGGCATGCAAGTCTAATATGCAGATGCACAAGAAAGATAGCATTTCTGCATGTAGAGATGAATTATTTTCTCAGTATTAGTATTATGTATTATCGGTATTAGGTCTATTTGATTCCAATGCTTCACTTGCTTTCAGCATTCAAATCATAACTTAGAAACATTTTGTGTTTAGAAAAGCAACTCAAACACACAGATAAGCTAATTCAGTGCAGTGCAGTTCTTTCAGATGAAACAAATTCACAAGAAATAATGTGTATTTAAATTTGAGTCCTCTGCTTTCATTTGAGTCAATGTCATTGTTAGACTCACCTTGCGTAATTCATCTCTCTCTAGTCTAATCTGTGATATAGTTTTTTCTAAGTTAGCAACGTGAGTTGACCTTTCCCCACCAAATGGGTCCAACTGTTGCTTAGTGATAACAGCATCTGTATGCTCCTGCTGTATCCGATGGAGTTCAAGTGTTAATTCTATAAAACAAATGAAACCTTTTCATACCAATTATGCATCTCTCTCATTACACACAAAAAATATCAGGCATAAGTTAAAACTGTTTAGAAACCTTCTGATTCAAAGATTCATCTGATTTTCCAGTAATTTATCTAGCTTATTTCACCAAATGATGTAAGTTTGAGTGAAACTAATTTCAAGTTAAAACTATTTCTAAATCAAATACATATTGAATTAAAAAAAAAGATTTTCAATTTAAAATGGAAAGCCTGGAACTGTGGATATAACACCATCAAATTCCTATGTTTAGCATTTAGATTTTATCAGCCAAAAAGACAAATATAGCACCAGCAAATTAAATTCAATGAGGCAGAATTTTTACAGTGGACAAAACAAAATACTCAGTAACAGCTACTACTAAAAGATACTAATATAAAAGACAAATCAAGAAATTTTAAACCCATTACTATACAATTGATTACCTTTTACTTTTTTTGACATATCTAATTTTTCCCTCTCTAGCTCCTTTATCTTCCAATTCACAGATTTATCTGATAAATGGTCAACCTGGTCTTCACTGTAAGATGATACAGTCCAGTTGGAAGGCTTTGAAAAACTAACATCATACACACACAAAAAAATGTTTAGTTTATTACAACACACAGACATATATGTACTTTAAAATAAAATAAAATGACCTATTTAATAGAAAAGCACAGTTGCACTTTTTCTTTCTTTTTATTTTGCAAAGAGAAAAACTTAACTATACATAGCTAGCCCTATTCTGTTTTAATTGGCACTAGCATCAGACATGGCATAGATTGTAAGTTTCCACAAGCTATGAAAAAATTATTCTAACTGCCTCTTTTAAGGGCTAGCTGCTTAGTTTGTTAAGAAAAAACATGCATATTAATGCTGCAAAAATAATAATAAACCAATAATGTGGAAAGTTCACATTTTCCTACACTGAAAATATATTTCTGATAGCTTACCTCCCTCTTACCCAAAAGTATCTCAACCTTGATTTCTCTCTAAGCATTGTTAAAAAAATGCTATTATACCCCTTCATTTTTGTACCATTTCAGAACACGTGCATATCATATGGCTATTCTCCACCAATCATACTGTGCCACCTATAGTAGTGGAGGTAACTCCCTTTTACTATTCTAGCACAATCCTTACTTTCGAGAATTGGTAGTTACAAACTAAAACACTGGCATATAAGTGGGGAGGAAGGGTGGGAAGTGGTTGAGAGAAGGTAAGTACCTATTAGAAATACATTTTCAATGTAGGAAAATGTTAACTTCCAAAATGGTATTACCTCCTATCAGCCAAACCTAGAATCCCACATTAAATAGGTGGAGGGCTGGTGCAGTCATGACAGGATTCAAATAAGCATATAACTACCTGAAAAGAACAATTGTTCCAGAAAAAGAAAGTAAGGCACAGCTGTGGGGTATAGCACTACTTCTAGAACAGGTATGCTCCTCGCCCAGTCACAAAGCAGTAATATATATATATATGGGCAGCATTTATGAGGCAGGCACAATATACACACAAAATGTCTAATATGTAATCAAGAATTTTGTGCCAAGGGAAGGGTCCTGGGGTACACTGGAGCAAGTCCACTGACATCTAGCTAAGGATATTGGTAGCAAGCAGAGCGATCTTTCCCTTAAAAAAAAACAAGGGCATGTGTCATAAATAAGTAGTGAGATGATATTTTGTAGGATAATTCAGAATCAGCCCATTGTCAACAGATAGTGCAGTAGTTGTCCACATATATAGTAGATCATAGTATGTGATATAGGAATAATGAGTCATAATAAGGTGCCAGATAATGTGAGATAGAGATAAGTGGCTATGGCTAAAGGACCGTAAATTGTATATGAATAAGGCAAGGGTGTTCCACTCAAGAAAAAAACATCCAGGGGAGCACCTTGGGATACGTCGGATTATGCCAAGTATGGTCCACCTGGGCAAAAGAACAACAGTGGAAGCTTCTTGCATAAGTTTTTTTTTTATAAGATCAACAAGTGCCATCCACCCGGGCAAAAAAACATCCAGAGGAAGCACCTTGGGATATGTCGGATTATGCCAAGAATGGTCCATCTGAGCAAAAAAGACAACAGTGGAAGCTCCTTGCTTAAGTTTTTTTAATAGGATCAACAAGTGCCATCTGCCTGAGCAAAACATATCCAGGGGGAAACGCCTTGGATATATAATATTATGGCCAAGTGAAATCCACCAAGGAAAAAAGAAACACCCACAGGAAGCACCTTAGTACACGTCAGATCATGCCATGTGTGGTCCATCCAGGCAAAAAACATCCAGTGGAAGCACCTTGCATAAGATACACAGTTCAACATGTGTGGTCCACCCAGGCAAAACCCAGGAGGAAGCACCTTAGAGATATAGGATTAGTCCAAGTGGGGTTTGCCCGGGCAAAAACATCCAGGGGAAGTACCTTGAAATTCTACTGTGTGGTCCAAATGGGTAGAAACGTTCAATAGAAGTGCCTTGCATAAGCATGTATATTATGATCTAAAAGTGCAGTCAACCCTAGCAAAATATCCGGAGGAAGCACATTGGATCCAGAATAGTATGTTATTCCCTATTCAATAATTATAATGACAACAGCCATCTTCTCACTGAGTGGGTACATATAAATTATAATTTTGATTTTTTCATTGTACAACCCCACTTAGAAGGAAACCTCCATGGTAAGGAGTCCTTTGCTCCTCCAAAAAAAAAGGGGGGGGGGAGAATATGCATTTTGGAGTCCAGGGGAATGACACATTGAAGACAGTGCAATGGGTGTCTGCAATTCCCTATTTTGAAAAACAGAAAGACTCAGATTATAAGAATCACAGGTCAGTAGGGATGGGCAAAAATCCCCAGCTGCTTTACTCATGAAGTCCATGAGTAATGGTCCTTTACATAAAATACATTGATAGTAAAATTTTGACATACACATATATATATAGACATACCACCAGAAAAGTGTCCAGTGGTCTTACAGAAACATTCCATCTCTACGGTGAGCATTTAAAAATATACAGATTTAGTGCAAAGATCTAATATTCAGCATACCTGACCAGGGAACACCACCACTAGGTGAGATCTTGAAATATGGTGTATATCAACTGAAAAAGATACAAAATAATAACAGGTCAACTTACTTCGCCAAGGCGAAGAGACATGTGGAGAATTGCCAGAGGAGGAAGATAATATCAAATTGAGGAAGAAACAGCCAAATCATGCAGAGAGAATGCTATGAATGCATTGGGTGTCGCCCACATACCCGCTTGAATGATCTCCTCCAAAGGTCGATGAAATCAAGCAGCTAAAGACATAGTTAAGTGACTGGTTTGGTATGATGAAACGTTGTGCAGCTGGCGACCTGCCACGGACAAGTCAGAAAAAGCTAGCCGTATGAGTTGCTGACCCAGCCAGTAAGAGTAACAGGAGATAGGTCCCAGGAAACAGAGGGATTCCAGAGAATAAATAGATGAGAATGCACAGGACAGAGAAGATGAACTGGATCCAAATGTGAGTATGTGGGAAATACACAATAAGGAAATGGGAGAAAAGGCAAAAAAACCTTCCAGAGCAGCAGCTGTCTTAGGAAAGAAGGCCCAATTTGGATAAATGATAACATAAGAGGAATGGCAAAGGATATAGGAACCATTAATGGCAAAAAGATCAGAATGAAGATGACTACATGCCAGGAGGAGAAGGAAATAGGTCTTAAGGGAAAGATGATACAAGGAACACATAGCAGTGGGTTCAAATGGAGAACCAGACAAGGCATGAAGAAGAACATTGAGATCCCAATCTGGAAGAACAAAAGGATGTGGAGGACGAACAAGATGAAAAGAATGGAAAAGTATGGAAATAATCAGGGAGATGAAAGTTTTACGTAATTCTTTTTACAAAGCAGCCCGATAACTAGCAACTGTTGATATGGACAAACCCTGAATTTGGACGGATGAGGAACAGAAGGATGGCAGCTACGGCAAAAAGACCACTGTCTGAAGGTAGACCAATGATGCTGGTACACAAAAAGTGAGGAAGACCAAATGGTACAGGTAAGGAAATATGCTACATGAGCAGCGAGTCCTTGAGCTGAGGCGAGGGACTGGACGAAAGCCACACATGAATATGGAGACATCTGCATGAAATAAGTCTGATTGTGGTTGTCAGAGGAGGGACCTAGACAGAGGAAAGGGCAGAGGCTGCTGCTCCAGTAAGGACCAGAGCAGAGAGAACAATGTCTGAGCTGGTCCAATACAAAGAAACTAGCAAAACACGACAAGAAATAGTCTGGAGATTAGTATGAGAGGAGGCTAGGCATATAGGTGAAAGCCCCTCCAATCCTGATTGAATGCATCCACCCCAGAGCTGAGAGGTGTGGAACAGGAGACCAAAAAGGAGATACTTTGGCATTCCAGTGAGTGGCAAACACATCTATATGTGGTATTCATAGGTAAGAACAGACCTCCTGAAATACTTGAAGATGAAGGGACCACACACCGTAGGTAGAACTACCAGATTCATAAGTCTTGGAACATGACATACATGACATGGTTAAATGGTAATTGTGAGTCCAGTACAGGAGGTCGAGTATCTGAAAACACAGAAACCAGGACTTGGTTCCCCCATGTTTGGCAATATAGCTAACGAGAATGGAACTGTCAGAATGAACCATCATCACCCACCCCCAGAGGAAATGAGACATTGGCTGACAAACAGCCAAAAGTTCAAGGAGGTTGATATGGAATGTAGTTTCTACAAATGACCACTGCCCCCAAATCTCCCTGGATTTGAGGGAAGCTCCTCTACCTACCAAGGAAGCATCTGTGAACAGGTGAGCATTGGGACAAGGCGGAGTAATGCAAACCTCCAAGTGGTCATTTCCCTGTCTAGCCACCATGCAAGGTCAGCCCTTATCCCAGGAGGGAGGGTGATAGGACTATCCATGGGATTGTGGGAGATGTTGCACTGGTCGATAAGCATCCACTGAAGAGAACGCATGTGCACCAGACCCTAGGGAATGAGAGCTTCCAAGGAAGCCCAGGACCCCAAAAGAGATAGAACATCTTGCGCAGTGAGAGAAGGTGAATGTACTGCCTTCGTGACTGCCCGCTCCATATCCTTGAGCCTAAGTGGAGAAGGTTGTGCTCAACTGAGATGAGAGTTGAAGAGAACCCCTAAATAAATAAGTTATTGTGTAGGGGTTAGAAAGGACTTCTCCAACTTGATAAAAAACTCCACCCAAACAGCCTCTTGAAGAATTGATTGGGTGTGAGAGACTGATTGGACCTTGGAAGAGGCAAGCAGAAGCCAGTCGGCAATGTAACGATGAGTCTGATGGCCCAGCGAATAAAGATGATGAGCAAATGAGTGAACCACTCAACAAATCATACAAGGAGATGAAGACAAACCAAACATCAGTGCACGGAACTGAAAGACACAACCCTCATGAACGAATCAAAGAAAATGACGTCACACTGGAGCTATGGGAATATGAAAATAGGCAAGCTTGGTCATCCAGTCTCAGGGAAAAAAAAACACTGAAGGGAGAGGTAGGACTCCATCTATGATAGGACTCAAATTCTCCCGTCTTTTTGGGGACAACAAATAACAGGAGTAAAATCTGGGATGAGTGGGCACAACCTATTTGATAGCTCCTATATATAAGATCCCAGACCAAATCAACGAAACAATTGGATGAGGTACGATCCTGAAGAGGAGGGAAGGATCCAGACATTGGGAATCCAAATCCATCAAACTGGTTGGGGGCTTACCCGCATCTGGCAACAGTGGATCAGCAAAAATGTTGAACAAGAAGTTGGATGCCGGGTGAGGGAGGAAATCATAATAATCAGAATCAAGGTTCTTCACCCAACAAGGCAAGAGAGGAATCAAGGGCTAATGGTGAAACATTTAAAATTTGACATACTTGATTAATAAGGAGTAGAAATGGTGAGGTGACTGACTAAAAAAGGCTGGGGCCTAAATTATCTTCCCCTAAATAAATTCTTGTTCAGAAGCTTGTTCAGGGAGAAAGGGAGACAAACCAACTGCCAAGCAAAAGTGTCAAACCAACTGTGAATTAAGGTTTGAACGTCATTAGTAGATATCATCAACCTACCTTACCTGGGGCTAGTGACATTACTGTACTCAATATTGGCAGGAACTTTGTGATTTGCCACCATAAAATTAGAATTAATATATCAAATCAGAATTCAAATTATGGAAAAAATTTTCAAAAAAATATAATTCAAAAGCAAACACTAAGTTCAAACTTGTGAAGTACTGAAACACAACCACAACCAAAAAAGCAAGCACATGATGAAGTAAACATGCATTTATACACTATAAAGCCAATCAAGAAAGTGAGGATTGTGCTATAATACTAGAGGGAACTACCTGCACAAGTATAGGTGGCACAGCATGATTAGTGGAGGGTAGTCACATGATATGCACATATTCTGAAATGATGCAAACAAAAGGGGTATAATAGACTGGTGTGCTATTAACAAAAATTTTTTTTAGCAATGCTTAGAGGTCAAATAAAGATCGACATAACTTTGGATGAGAGGAGATAGTACTGTTTTGGAAATAAATACATAATAACACTGAATGAATTATATTTAATGACATCCCTCCTCCTACTTAAAATATCAATCTTGCTACAAAATTTAGGTGTAATGAAAATAAGCTAAAACTGCATTAAATAAAAGCTTCAAAAGTAAGTGAATCTTAATTTATTTGCTACACAATGGGCTATCTGTGCTCTGCCCAACACAAGTATTGAAACTCAGTTTTTGGTGGTGATAGCCCTCAGAATTACCATTTGAAGAGAATTATTACAAGACATAATTTTTTAAACCAATTGTAATTGTGGGTTGAATGGCATATGTGCCTTTTTTATAATATACAGGGTGTCCCAGAAGTCTGGTCCCATAGGGAAAAATACATAATTTATTCTTATTTTATTTATTATTCAAATTGTATGCCATTAACAGTTATACACATATCAATTCTTGGTATACTGTGCCATCAGGGTATTTTCTTTCCTGAAATATGTATGTATATGACATTCAAAATGTGTTTAACTATTAAGAATATAATGTCTGTATTCCCTATGGGTCCAAACTTCTGGGACACCCTGAGAATGATCTGTAAGTGTAACATACAATAAACGATATGAAAATGACAGAGAAAAATTTGTCTACAATTAAACTTAATTACAAGTCCAAACAAACATACAAGAAATTCCTGTACCAACTGTCCTTATATCGATTAACATACAATAAAAGCCACATTTAATCACAATTCTTTCAAATTACTGATTAAATATCATTAAAAAATAAAACTGTAAAAAAACATACAGTTAATTTTTACTTACCTCCCAAATGTGTAAGTGAAGCCTATAAATGGAAGATGAAGACCAGAAAATACAGAGTTTGCACTGGGAGGCACAGAGTCCTAGAATCAGTAGTACATTAATAAAAAACAAATTTATGACAGTAAAAACTTGTTTAAACTAAAACAAACAAAAAAATAAATATATATATTAATATAATTATTTTCATTATTTCAACTTTCCTTTAAAACTGACTTAAAACTAGATTGTCTGATTACTAAAAAAAATTTGTAAAACAAATCTAACTTCTATAATTAGTACCTAGATTACATTACCATCAGCTCCCTATGAAACCTACAATTAAAAAAAACATTTGTAGAGTATACTATTGTTCACACATGAATTACTATTGAAAGAAATACATTTCAAGCTTAAAGGCAGCAGTTGGAAAATTAAGAAATACATGCTTATTAAATCTACAAAAATTACAAATATTTCAAACTACATAAATGTTCTCAGAATAGTTTTATGATATAATGCTATCCAAATTTCCAAAATACCTACTGTTGTTCACTTATGAAAGAATTCACTATAACAGCACAGTGATATAACTACACTACAAATCACAACTAGGGCAAAATTTCAGCTGATGTAATAAACATCAATACATTCAACTTCTTCATAAGTAGTTTTGGATTATGCATAGAGAATATTATTTACATAAACTAAGGACTTATTGTTGAAGATTAATAATAATTTCTATTAATAGATGCTTCTACACTAAGAATACATTGTAAAGTAGTTATACGTTATATATTTCAAAGATCAACTTACATTGCCTTTCAAATCATTTTCATCGACATCATCAAAGTTAGATGTGTCCGTAGGACTACTTACTTCAGGGATGTAGGGAGCTAGACCTAAAATTGAGGGGCAAGTTTTGTTTTTTTTATACACCTGAAATAACATCACTTTAATATACATCTAAGCAAAACAGATCACATTTAAAAAGGCAACAAGCAGAAGTATAAACGATTAAATAGGAGCCTACCAGCACTTAAAAAGTAATAAATGGCAGGTCGTTGGTCTATGTAGCTATGGTTTCCTTAGTTCTATGGTCCTACTATTTTGTAGCAAAGCTAGTGAAATATTGCAAGTCAACCAAGGTTTGATGTGAAAACTGGTGTTCTTAACAATACTTATGCTGATAACTTAAAAACTTGAGTTCTGTGTCTGAAGAAATGTTAAAGACAAAATTTTGGGAAATAAAATATTGCATAACTTAAATTTGTGTACATAATCTTGAAATTAATCTGCAAATAAAATTACAATCTGGAAAGAGTGATTACTTAGAAAAGGGAGTACTAAAGATACAGTAAATTTTAGAATCACAGGATGCTAAATTTGAGGGCCGTCGAGTTTGTGTACACGATATTGACTGAGTTATGTATTAAATTGCAATAGAAATTCTTTAGGCAGTGACTTACCCTCTACGTATATAATTAATTTTATACCTTCTACTAAAATGTGTGTATAGGCCAATGTAAGTGTGTTTAAAATAAGTCTTTACTATAAAATCCTCATTACTATTTAAAAACTGAAGTGTCCAGAAGTGGCATTTTCTTTTATTCTGTTTATGTCCCAAGACAACAGATTCCAGGATGTTCCCTCATTTATCATGAACAGAAGTAGCTTTCTGTGCATTCTTGTTTATAAATCATTAAAATAACACTGACGTGGTGATGACACTTTTGTTATTCTTCAGGAAGTTACATACTTTTGAATATATGTTTCTAACCTGTACTTACCATAATCTGATCAGTTAACTGGCCAAAAGCAGAAGTTATTGCCAATCTAATATTACTTCAAAGCCAAAGGGTTGTGTCTGGCATTAGAAATGGGTAACAAATCTTGGGAATTATTTTCCCAAGGTTTATTTAATTATCTGAGTTATATACTAAATTTTATATTATCAAACCACTGTACATATTGTTATTATAGACAATTGGTCTGCTGTTATGCTTCAGTGTGTGATGTGTGTTACATTCATGATTAATTGTAGTATGTTTTTCTGGTTGTTTATGAAGTTTCTTGGGCTTGTGTATGTAAAGAACACCTTGTTTAAAGCACACACATATATCAGTTCATTACTGCTTACGGTTTATTCATTTCAATACTTTTATGTTATTTGTATAGTCATTTGTAAAATGCAGTGGATAATGCATTGTCTTATACTTTGTTTAATTTTTTGAATATGTTTATTTTCGTTACTAAGCTGAATTATTCTTCTAAAAAGTAGTTCCTGTACTAGAAACAAATTTCCTTTGCTGTGTTCATATGAAGAGTTTCTGATGTCTCGCATGCTATACTTTAATTTAACATTCATTACTTTTGTCCAAAAGAATACAGAGTTAGATAATTCTTCAGCATTTTAAGAATGGCAGTAGGAGGATGTGGTGGTGATAATGTGGTTGAAAATTCTTCCAATTTTTAGAAATAATACAGAAATGATAAAAAAAAATTATTAATGGATGATTTAGAATTATGTTTTTTATTCTATGTATATTTTGGCCAATGTACCAGAACTGCTTATTGTTTGGTGTATATGAAGTGTCTCCAGCTTATCGTGATAGGTTTGTTTGATGTTTAACTTACTGTGCTTTAATGTTTTGATTTACGAGTTTCTCTAAGGTTCTTGAAATAGTAACACATGGATTACACATTGTGGGTTTCTTTAACTTGTGACATGCTAAAGATTAATCATATAAATATATGCCACAGAAATCAGACTCTCTCTATAAATGTCTGCTGTTTTCATCAGTAAACAAATGACTCTTCTATAAGCACCATTTCTTTTACATCAATTTAATACAGCAATATTTTATACTGTAACCAGCCTGTGTTCTCATCACCTTCAAATCAATTTTAAAATCCTATTTATACAACACTTTAAGTCCATTAAAACAAACTTTTGATCCCTATCAAGAAATAGAAATACATCTACTAACCATCTCTTATATGATCCCAGTCAACGCCTTCAAACCATGGGTGATTTTTAAAATCCTCTATTCCCTTCTGTCCAAGCCTACACTCGGCACTACAAATCAACTTTGTCATCAGATCTTTGGCTTCTTTAGATACAGTGAGTAATGGATCATCAGGGAAATCAAAACAATTCTAAGTAAAAATAAATGTAGCAGTTAGGACTACAATGACTTTATTGAATGTTTCTTTGATAAATATCTACCACCTGGTGGGAATTTTGAATATGCACAAACAGAAAACGTGTCTCTAGCTTATTTGTGATTGGAATTTTTTTCTGACAACTCTCTACATATATTTAAGCTTATCTTCAAATATTTAAGGATAATTGACAACTGAAATTCCTGTAAATGTTGAGTTCTAAGTAAAATAAGTAATATTTGTATAAATAAAATGAGGAAACATAATGGATATTAAGCTTTTTATATTCCTATCTTTTCATTTAACTGTCCTTAAAACTACAAGAGAATTACAATTATGTTTATCAGAAATTACATAATTACTAAATTAAATTAAAAATAAGCTAACTGAAATTCACAAACTTGGGATATTCAGAGTATGTTCTCAGGCTTCTTCTTCATCTCATATGAAATTCCTACATTGTGTTTAGTTCAACTTGTTTCCATTTAAAGAATTAAAACTTTTTACACAGTAGTTAGTTTCCAGATTTCTCATACAGTTAGCTGTTTGAAATTCCTGGATAATCAATGATTAAATATCTCCAAGTTTGTATTCCAACCACTAAGAAAAACATGGAAATATTTGAGTAACACCCTCATACAAAGTTTTACTCGTTAAGTTAAAGAGCTAACCACTATAAACTATCAAGTGATAGAGATATCTGGACATTTTTAGATGAAGAAAATGCTGGAAATTTTCAGCTAACCATGATTATGAAATTCCAACTATGGTGAAATTTTTATTACATTCAAATCTCTATAAACTCAGGATCTTTGAGATACTGATGGCATTTTACAACCAATATCATGTGTTTTACAAAACAGAAGTTTAGTTTTAATAAAATAATAAGAGTTGAATTCCTTTGCATTCTTCTTCTAGACCAGTGGTCTCCAATTATCACAATGGGCAACTTCAGATGATGACCATAAAGCCAAGGGCCAGGCCTGAGCTTGTTGACCAGTATACCATCCCACAAATATAGCTTAACTTACTTTTTTCATTATCTGCTCATAGTGAAGCCCATTTATCAGGTTTTTCAGAACCTGATATGGCCCATGGTCTGCCTAATGAAGACCACTGAAGTAGAATGAATAAAATAATAAGTCTGGAATAACAACATGAAGAGATCCAAAGTTATCTTATTCACTTTCATAACACTAATATCATACTTGTTTAGTAAATTACAAATGCAATCTAATAGAAAGTGATCAGATAAAATATGTTTATTGCATACTTTAAAATGTTTCCTAACATATACAAACATTACACTTATCCACATCTTAGCTGCACTATTAATCCAGTAGTATAATGTAATCCTGGAACATCTTATTTGGTGAACAATTATGACCAGACTACCAAATAACAGAGGTCCACATGCAACCACAAAAACTAGCCTCATGGCAAAACATACTCTTGATCTTCATCTGACATCACATATGTAACACCATCTGCTGAAATGATGAACTATTTTGGTTTTAGTGATATCATAGTTCTGTTGCACACTTTCAAGTCTACTCTCTCAATAACATTAACTTCATAGGAAACTCAACCTTTAACTTATAAGTTTCATTAACTGTAATTTTGTGTATTGCTCAAAGTAAAATAAAGATCAAATTTTTTATGAGGTTTTGATTTTGAGAGAGAGAGAGAAACTACACATGTGAATTATGCTAAGCCTAAACTTAAATACCAAATTAACTTTATGTCTTATAAGCTGTATCAGATATATAATGTGCAATTATGATAAACTTTGTCAAACCTTGTGGTTCATGATCTTTCCATATGTTTCCACGAGAGATTCTGCATAAAAAGGTGTTTCTCCGAATAACATTTCATACATACATACTCCTAGTGACCACCAATCACATTCTGGTCCATATCTTCCCTGACCATCTTCCATTGCCTTAACAGTAGAAAAAATAAAGTTCTTATTTATAATAGACACTAACTAAAATGGTAATAAGTGTGTAGGATATCTGACCAAAAGTATAATTAACCTTTCTGTTTAAGAGTGAAGCTCTTATGCAAAATCTAATAGAGCAGAGGTGTGTATTAATATGCACTGTCATCGTTGTAACCCATACCACAAGTTCACCACAAATCAACTCATTTAAAATATTAAAACTTGTTTATTGTTAGATATGCAGAGTATAATATTTAAGGTTACAACACCTGGCATCATCAGGTACATCTGGTGAAATGTTGTAACCATAAATAGTATACTCTGTATATACGACAATAAACAATAAAGTTTTAAATAACAGAGTAGTTCCTTTAATTACTTACTTATTTTTATTCATATAAGATTTATTTACTTATTTATTTTTGAAAAACAATGTTGAAAACAATTCAGTTTTTACTGAAATTTGTGTATGTTTAATATTTGATGGCAGTTACATAAAACAACACTAACTAGTTTTAAATATTCTTGGTGTTCAAAATGAATAATAAAATATATACATACAAGTATATACAAATAAAAATCAATCTTGAAGTTACTTACACTTACTGTATGAATAAAAACTTAACATAATTAAGAAGGAAGAAAACTTTTATTGGGCACCTATTACCAGTATTTTACTTCCGTATATTCATGTGATGAAGAAAGCACATCTCCCAAAACAAACTGACCAAACCAACATACACTGAGTGGTCACAAGTAAATAGACACCTAATTTTTCGTCATTTAACTGATTTATGCTAACTAATTTGTG